ATGAAAGGACAGTGATTTGACATAGAAAAGGTGTGGGGGGAGGTCAGATGCTTACAGACATCCTCCCTGAAGGCAGTTAGTCACCAGACTACATGGCAAGCCCCACCCCCTGCTGTTCAAGGACAATGGACAGGCCTGCAGTCATTGATTTGGTTCCTGTAGGTGGAGTTCACACCCTACCGATAATGGGCTCTATCAGTTGAGCCAGGGAACAGGTCAAACCAGCTCTATGACATCCAAAGTTAGGCTGCCATCCTGTATCTAGGATCCGCCCATCTTGCCACATGTATACCCCCAATCCCTCCTCTTCCAATTGCATGGATACCCCTAGAACACTGCTTCCACTACTGTGTTACCTATAGCACAACCCCTTCCTGTGACATATGTCTTCCCCTGTAATTAGGGGGCTTGCATGTCCCCAGAGAATATAAAAGCCTTGGTTAGCATTAAAGACTCTCTCTCTCCATGTGGACCACCAGCGGGGCTGAGGTGATCACTGCTACCATGAATTGTGTCTGACTCCATTATTTCAATATTTCTCTTCTATCCCTCATGCTCTCTATGACTTTACTATAATCTTTACTTATTATCGCTGTACAATTGCACCTACTGGATCCATGATGATGTGCTAGGGGCTGGCTTCCCCTTGCAGAAAAGGTGAAGAAAAAAATGAGGAGCTGCTGCCAGCCATCCAAACGGATGAGTTAGAAAACTGTTTCCAAGAACGGAATTGCAGATTTGACAAATGTATTAAGTGTAATGGAGAGTACTTGGAAGGTGATAAGATTGTTTTGTAAAAAATTTTAAATACATAATTTTGAAAAAACAAACTCTGGGTTTTTTGGGGGAGCGGGGGTTACCCCCTCATACACAAACTGGTAAATTTCAAGGCCTGGCCCTCCCACAAAGTCCACAAACGGACCAATTGCCTCTCAATAGGCTTGGCAGAGCTGCAACTGACCTCAGTTGCATAGTCTGTTGATCAGTCCCTGCGAGGTGAACACCAGCCACAGGGCAGGGTGCAGCTTAGGACCAGACAAACAGTCAAGCTATTCACAACATACCCAGGGAATGTCCTATCAACCAGGACAAAAGGAAGAATAAACCCTCTGGGGCAGAAACGAGAGCAGTTTGCTCCTCAGTGCTTAGGGGGAAACAATCTCTCAAACTTTTTCTAAAGGATCAAGGTAAAAAGCCACATGTGGAGCTAATCTCACCATTTGAGGGGCGATTATAGAGTTCAGGAGTAAAAAGAATATATTTTCAATGCATATGCCCCCCCCTCCCCCCCAAAGTCATATCTATAATGTAGTTCTGTAAATCTGAAAGCAAACAGCTTAGTAAGGGCATTCAGTCTGAAAGTTGAAATTAAAACACGTCACCACATACACACTAAAATTAAGAACCTGACAGTAACAGGTGCTAGCATCTTTGGACAATGGACACTGTTATACAATGCGACTGGGAATGCAAATTATGCAATCATTTGGAAGGTAGCTTGGCATTATCTAGTAAATGCCCCAGCCATTATATTTCAGGGTATCCAATCTTGAGAAATCTGTGCATTCGTACCCCAGGAGATGTGCACAACAGTATTTATGGCAGTGTTATTCAAACAGCCCCAACCTGGAAACAAAGACAGGGGAACACGCAAACCAGAGAGAAAAAGAAGGATGAAGTACCATATCAGCCCGATACACCTGAATGATTTTTGAACAAGAGGCCTCATATTTTCATTTTGAACTGGTCTGACCCCACCTGACCCGAATATCAGCCGAGCCACCTAATTTTTCCACAAAAATGGCATAAAAAATGTGCTGGAGAACTCAGCTTATACACGAGGATGTTGTAGTCACCTTGGATCTTGTTGGCTGTAGTTCTTGCTGAGACCAACTGCTGTTTGTGCCCTCTCCAGAAATCCTTTTTTGTTTCCAGTGATTTGAGAAGACTTACTGTTTCTTACAGTCAGTAGAGCCTAGCATTGGGGAAAAACTGTGTGGAGAGAGGGTGGACATTGGGGACAGGGCGTGGTGCCCCAACAGGCTGGACTGGAAAACACTCTTAAAGGCCAGCGATCCTTGAACTAACTACAAGCTTTTCTTTCT